TCCTTAATTCAGGCCTAATTTATTCCTGAATACCTGTTTAGACTGAGGTGCAGGAGGGTGTTGAAACAACAGACCAAGCAGCTACATGGCCTTTAACTGCTAGATTTGCCACAGTCACAAATAATCTTCACGATGGCATAGTTTGCTACTGAATTAATGATAGTCCCAATTAGGTGTAAGCCACTCAAATTATAATGGAAATAGAAGCCTTTTAAATATGTGTGCCAATTAACACTATTCATTTGAATGGTTTTTGTTTAGTTGTTCTTGTATATAAATGTCATCCCTCAATTGAGGATAATGTTCTCAGCCCATCCAAGGAAAGAGTCAGGCAGACATGAAGAGCAACAACCAAGCAAGTTCCCTGTTAGGGAAACAGGAACTCTTTCAAGTCACAAATTATCATTATAATACCAGTATGGACCTCAGCCTGGTTAAAGCATTCATCAGAGATGAATCATTGCAGGTGGAGAGTCAGGGCAATGACACAGAAGATCATTGCAAACGATGCCTGAGCTATTTGCTGTGGGATTGATGGGGCAATAACTCCACTCAAAATTTCTAATGTTGCAAGCTAGACATGAAGTAGGCTGTGCTTTGTGATTTGAAGTGGAAGCCAATGAATCAAGCATCTTCTGTGCTAAGGATTCATTGAGGCATTTTTGCTTCATTCTTGAATGACTTCAGTAGCATTCTAACAACTAATCTGGTCTGTAGTCTTCCAGCACTTAGAATATTCTGTCCACACTGATATTCATACCCAAAATGGCTCCATATGAGCCCTCACCCCCAACCCCTAACAAAACTTATTCATCATCAGGCATGATTGCACACACTTAATAGTACCGGTACTCAGGAGGTTAAGGATGGAGTGTCAGGTTCAAAGTAAGTCTGGGCTAAATATCAAGTACAAGCCCAACCTGTACAAACTGAGACCCTGTCTGGTAATTGTTCTTCCCCCCCAAAAAAATTACAATAAATCTTTGGCTTGATGGAACTTAACCTTTCCAGGTTGACACATTTCAACCTCCTCTTGCCTCTAAACTGAACAAGTCACCATCCTCATGCCTCTTACCTTTATACTAGTTTCTACTAGGTTTTACCTAATCCTTAACTTCACTTAGCTCCTGCATCTTCTGTAGAGTATGTCTGGAACAGACTACCTTCCTCCAAATCATTTAACCCCAATGATCTTGAACACATACCACATGGAGACATTTTATCACAAAGCCCTTACCTGTTCACATAGTGTTCACTTCATTTGATTGACAATCTTTGCAGTTGAGATAATGTGAACCCTGCCCTGTTCAAACCACACCTATTCAGAATCATCTATATCCCATAACTTAGCACCAACTGAGAAAAGGGTCCTTAGCTATTCAGCTGCTCTACCTGAACCCTGTATAATTTAAGGGAGTATGGATTCGTTCCAAATATTGGATGGGGTGAACAGGAATCAGATCCTGTTTGCCTTGTTTGTGTAGTAATATAACCTTTCATCAGGACTTCTCAGTAGCAAATTCTTAGACTTTGTGAGCTGGATATCCAAATACCCTTAGAAGCTAATTTTAAAAATACACTTTCTGCCTTCATCCCCAAACCAGAAACCCTCAATAACCCTGCCAGATTTTAATTCCTAACTTAGTTGGAATAAGGATAGATAAAGGCATTTCCCTTGACTTTCACAAGACCTTTAATTTGAAACACAATTTCCATCAGTAACTGGACAGTGGCTAGGAGCACGCAAAGCCTCAGATCTTTGTGCCTTGGCTCCTACTATCCCATTGTGGAAACCTCTGTGAACCTCACATGTTGGATGTGTTCTGATTATATGTGTAGAAATGCTAAGAGGAACCAAAGCCAGACTGGGCATAGTAATTCATTAGAGAATTTTTAGATGATATAGAGTATGATCATCTCTACCATTTAACTAACATGAACAAATTAAAACTAGGGTATTTTGATACCTTGGAGGCTATTACAACATGCACTGACAAGTGTTTGGATGCTGATGTGATACTAATGCCTCTGAAAGGAAGACTACAAAAATAAAGCTTTGTGTAACCTCACCAAAGGCTTCCTGACTTTACAGGCATCCAGGCCCCATCCCAAATCTCACAGCCAAACTCTATTAAACATCTTCTTCCACTGGGCAATTTCAGATTCCTCTGCCTCTGACACTACTGCTGTCTAGTCCATAAGTGATGCTCATTCCCAGGTAAAAAGAGAAGAGAGGTGGAGAAGACACAGTGACAAGCATTTTAGCGGCAACTCAATGTTGGGGAGTGAGGCTGTTCCTAGAAGACAGGCTTGTGAGCCAACTGCATTTGCCTTTCTGTTCCTTCTTTCACCCAGGAGTGCATCTCATTACCACAGAGTCAGCACATACTCATGTCAATCATCTGGGGGCCAGATGCCTCTCTTTTCATCACTATGTGTTCCATAGCTGTCATGTGCCATTCCTCACTCTGAGGCACTCTCTCAGACTACTTACTCCCACAAGCTCCTAAATATACTGACATCCTGCCTAAAATAAAACCCATAGCCTCACACTTAAATGCATCTAAATTCTGCAGCCAATCACATGGATCAGGGAGGCAAAGGCGTAAGACACTCTGGGTAGCTGGAGTGGGCAGGTCTGCTGCTGAGTTTTTGCTGTGAATGTGTAGGCCATCTATATCTAATATAGACTAGGACAGGAGGCTAATCCCATGTCTCTCTTACAATGCCTGTGGGGGTCACAGTAACTGGCTTTTAGTCTAATGTAAGACCATTCATCAATAAAGTACTTATGCATTATGATCTATTGATGTGGACTCCTCCGACCTTGCTTGCACTGATGGGACATGTTCATTGCTGTCACTGTAAGACAGACATTACATGCTTGTTCAGGATACCTGCAAGCCTGACAGCTCCATAAGAGATGGCTAGCCACTTCCACAATAATTGCTTGACCTTCATCAGCATCCACCAACAAACACCACTGATACCTGGTAGTTGCACAGCTTCTGCATTTTTGCCATCCCACAGGACTGCTGTGTTAGAAGCAATGACAAATGGTGGAGTGGGCTCTCCAAAATTATCTGTCCAAGTACTGTAGTCTGGTGATTTTCCCACTTACATCTGGAATCCTGAATCCCTAAATCCTAAAGCCATTCACTGAGAAACTGTGTTCAAAGTCCTGTGTGAGTATTGTGCAGAAGAAAATACTATCATTTGTGAGCTGGGTGCACAAGGAGTTTGTCATCCAGTGAAAAATTACAGATAGGAGCATTGTCTACTAACTGGAGACAATGTTCAGTGTCTTCCAGGCGGTGGGACTCAGGAAGCATATGGAAAAGCAAGCATTTGGGGTCACTGTTCCAGTCCTATCACCTACAAACTCCTCCCCCAGATTACTTCCAAGTGCCTCTCTGTTATGAGTTGTTTCCCCCAACCTCTGCCGGCCTGGGCCCACTACTGCACTAGCTCCAAATAATACACAGAGACTCTGTATTAATATATAATTCTGTTGGCCAGTTACTAGTTTCTTATTAGCTATCTCTGTCTTAAATATTAACCCATTTCTATTCATCAAAGTACTTCCATGTGGTCTTATCTTACTGGAGAGAGGGGCTGGTGTTCTTCTTTCTCCGTCCTCCATCTTGGATCTCCTCCCTACTACTTTCATCTTTCCTCCTTGTCTCCTAGTCTTGCCTTTCTTGCTTTCCAATTGGCCAACAGTGCTTTATTCATTAACCAATATTAGAAACATATTTACAGAATCACATCTCCCACCACCTCTCCACACTTGTGTCTGATGTATGATGTTGAGACCTGGCTAATCCCCAGTTCAGTTCAGAGATGTCTTGTTAAAAGGACAGGATGAACTAGAATGTCACATGACAGTGAAGTTACGGACCAGGTCACCATGGCTCACCACTAGGGAACAGCCATTGGTGACAACTTGTAGTGCAATGCTTAGTATGAGCAGGAGAAATAGCCCCACACCCATGCCCCATGATACCCCTTGAGGTTCCACATTTAGAAACAGCTTGTAATTGGAAGTTTTGCAAATTAAACCTGTCCCTGGCAATGTATACCCAAGTCTCCATTTTCAGATTCTAGAGACATGCTGGATATTTGTAGCTTCTGAACATGATGTCTTCTGTCACCTTAACCATATCTTACCACTTGCCTCCTATTGTCATCCCATGTGACTCCTTTGCTGATAACAGAAGCCACTGGAGGCAAAGGCCCTGTCCTGGCCCTAGTGCAGAGGCTGACGCCCCTAACAAAACACTTCATTTAAGCTGTATATCTCATCACTCTGATTTCAATCCTCATAGTCACATCACCTCTGTGTGAAGAGTTTTGACCCTTTCTTGACTAACCTAACTCTCTGAAGCCTTTGAGAGGCTAAGTTCTATGACAAATGTGGCTGGTTGATGGCCTGGCTAGGATGACATCCTGTCTTCCTATCTCCAGAGTCTGGTCTCTCAACCACGTATATGATAATATACTTGGTTGAGGCTGTTACACCTGCAGAATTCAGAGATCAGGAAGCTGACCTTGACATTAACAGTGAGTAGAATAGCAGGGCAGGGGCAGAGAAAAGGATAGAGGATATAAGGGGTAGACTGTGGAAGGGAGATCCTCAGGGTTCAACAGGGGATCTCCAGAGGGGATGCTGTGCCCTGGATCCACAGAGACCTTAAGTACTAAGAAATCCACTTTTCCCATTTCTCCTGGTAGAAACTGCATGCTTTCACCTTTATCAGTTCTTGGTTTTATTTTTAAATAAGACAGTTTTCCCTTCGCTTGATGAAGTCAGTGTATATGTAGCTTTGTCTTCTTTAAATGTTCTAATATATACTCTGTGCCCTTAAGCCCTGGCCTGCTTGTAGATCCTGAATGAGCTCCCAATAACATTCTTCATGACAAAGGCAAAATGAGTCTTCATTTATGCAAGCAGACTCAGAATTCAGCTGGCTCCTCACCTTCAGGCCTATCTCTTGCAGATTATTGGAACCATTCCACTGATGCCTAACCCAGGGCCATCAAGTCAAGCAGCAAGTGGCACTCAGGGCCTTCAAGTACAGCCTATCACGCCCCAGCTCCTAACCAATGCCCAGGGCCAGATCATTGCTACAGTCATCGGAAACCAGATCTTGCCTGTGATCAACACCCAGGGTATCACCCTGTCCCCCATCAAGCCAGGCCAACAGGTAAGAGTACCATACCAAGGTCCCAATTCATTTCTCTTCTCCTCCTTTCTCTCCTTTGCACTCAATGTAAATTTCACATTACAAAATTTTTAATAGTTTCACTAAACCCAATGTATCAATACTTACAAAATGACTCATAGATTTATTTCCCACTGTTAGCAAATATAAGCAATAGCATGAATAATTCTCTAGCAGAAAACCAGGAGCATATTATATTATAACAGACATTGTAACCAAAAGTCAATTACAATGTTTCCTTTCTTAATCTAGATCCAATATACTTTTATGGGGTTTTTCTTGTTGTTGTTTGTTTGTTTTGTTTTGTGGGTTGTTTTTTGTTTTGTTTTGTTTTTTGTAGAGTCAAAAAGAGATCCAGACTACTTATGCTTAACTTTAAATGAAAAAGAAATATTAAATACAAAGCAATCCCAAGCTGAAGCTCTGCTGCAACAGCTATCTACAAATAAATGAATGATAGGCCGTTCTACTCAGTAATTTTGCTAAAACTTTGATGGCAGTGTACTTTTTCAATCAAATACCAACTGAGCTTTTCCCTGTTTATGCTAGACTTTAAGCATGTAGCATGGAAAAAGAAAGATGTGGTCTGTTATTTTCATGGAGATTTGGATTGGCTAGTCCCTTCAATAAGCATTTTTAATAATGTATAGTAAGACTCAACTAAATGCTAGCCAAGAAACAGAGATATGCTTTCTAATCAAGGGGTTCATGGTGTTATATGGGACATGGACTTATATAAGTAGAGTCCATATTCAATAACGCAGAAAAGGTCCTTCAACACTTGGAGGAGTAAGAACAGATGAGAAAAATGAATTAGTAACGCTCCAGGAAGTAGGAACAGTAAGTACAAAGAGAAAGAAGGCTGAGGGACCAGTGAGCATAGAACAGACTGGAGACAGTTGTGGGTGGGGTGTATAATCAAACCAGAAAGCATAAGTTTTATCTCTTTGTGATCTTGAAGATATCACATGCCAACTTCCTGCTCAAATGTTCTTATACGCAAAAATAAAATCAGGCAGGAATACCAGAATCTATCTCAAAGAAGGGGTGTAAAGTTTACAGGGTTAGAATTGTATCTGTCATACAGCAAACTACAAGCCAGTTCCAATATGGCTGAGGTGGTGCAGTGAAGATGCCACCCTGGGAACTGTAAGAGATGGGTGTTACACAGGAAGGAATTATATGTTCAGGTATTTTTCCCGTAAGAAAGTGAAACTGAAATGATGTAATTTCCATCATAAACAAACTATTTAGGGGACAATAGTGAAGACCACACAAGCAATATTGAGCACACCTACTGGACGCCAGCTGACATTAGGAGTCTAGGCCATTTACTGTAACTGAAAAATAAAGGAAATATCCCAAAGAACAAGAAAAAGAGTAAGATCCAGGAAATCTGGAAAATGCCAGCTCATAAAAAGAATAGGAGGGGAAAGGACAAAGCGATTATGGGCAAGTAGGCGAGGAACCTGGAGTGGGGCTACCTAAGAAACAGTAGGCCCCAAACAGGCATCAAATGCTGCAGAGAAGATACTTGGTAGAGCACATTTTAAAGTATAGGTCAGTTCTATTTTAAACAGTTTGAGTCAAAGTTGAGCAGAATTAAGAGCCAGTTTTGAGGATTGGGTGTACACTGATAAAAGAAAGATGGTGGAAAGGAGTACGAAGGCTAGCAGCCAGTGTGTAGCTGGGTGTGGTTGAAAGAAAATAGCCTCCAAAAGGAGTGCCTCTATTAGGACTTATGTTCTTGTTGGAGGAAATGTCTCACTGTGGGAGTGGGCTTTGAGGTCTCCTTTGCTCAAGCTTCCCTCAGTGTGACAGTCAGTCAACTTCCTGTTGCCTGCAAGATGTAGGACTCTCAGCTCCAGTACCAAATCTGTCTGCATGCTTCCATGCATGATAATATAGACTGAATCTCTGAACTGTAAGCAAGCTACCCCAATTAAATGTTTTACTTACAAGAATTGCCATGGGCATGATGTGTCTTCACAGCAATAAAAATCCAGACTAAGACACTTGGGATAAGGCTTTATATATTGTTAGAAGGATATAAAGCAGTTGGGAGTGGGGCAGGGGTGGGAACAATGAAACACCAGTATCTCAGAAAAGTCCCTCTAGAGATCTCAACATCACCATGCCTTCACACCTCAGCAGCATTCATAGAAACCCACTTGCTTGCTTAAATAATATTAAAAAAAATAATAAAAAAAATATTTACTGGAAATATTTTCTGGCCATCAACCATATGTTAGAGAGGGTACCTGGGAGCTAGCATATGGGTAGACAAGACAGTCACCATGACCTCTTCTTTCCTCAAAGACTTATTCAGATATTTAACCACTTCATGGTGGATGTCATGAAAAGAAAACATGAGAGGAATAATATACTATTGAGAAAGAAGTAGCTTTCATCTAGAAACACACATCATGGAAACTAGGGCCTATGATCTCTCTCTGCACTAGAAGTGTGATCTTGGCCAGTGACACTATTGTTACTAGCTGGACCCCAGGTTCAGAAGAGGTCCCTAACAGACCCACCTTTAAGTTCAAGACTTTCCCACCCACAGTTACCTTTTGCTATTTGCAAGAGTCCATTTGATTGTTTGATTCTCTGCCTTCAAAAGAGGCAGGCTTCTCTATCCCTCACTAGTCTATGTAGACCTGCCTTAAACCATAGTTCTGTCTGTTTCAGCCTGTTCATGATTATTGCTATTGTCTCTAGGGAGAAAAGTGAAGGTTGCCTCTTTTCTTGCAATCTAATAACAAATTAAGAAAATAAAAACTATTTCTGTCAGCAAAGATAAGTACTAAATTGTCAGAAAAGATGATAAATTAGTTAGAAATCGTTAGCACTTGATGTAAAGTTGCCCTCACACTCACCTTGAATTTTAAAGGTATACAGGTAGCCACATTTCATCTCTGCCCACAGTAGCTATCAGCAATATTTCTAGTCTCTCCTAAGCACCAAGAAACACTTCCAGAGCTTTTTACACCATACTCACCTCCCCTGGAATGAAACCTCACTACTACTAAGGGAACAGGTGCCACTCCACTGTTATGACCTGGCAACCCATGTCAGTCAAAACTAGCATCCCAAATAGAGGGGATGTATATGTGCAAATACCTCTTATGTCTGTGTGCATACTTGAGAATTCAGGAGCACAGCTGAATTCAGGAGTCACAGCAGCCACCAAGCCTCTTATTCCCAGCAGAGACAAAGAGTTTCTTCTACTCCAAGAAAAACTGAGGAAACCATGATGAACTTGTTCAAAATTTCAGAGAAACGGTAGACACAGACAGATCATTTGTCTTGGCTTTAGCTGGAATTTGCAACACTTTGGAGTTTGAAGTTAAGGTATATAATTGGGCAAATCACCAATAGATGTGCAAGTTTAGTTCCTTTATAAAATAGGTATGATACCAAGCATCAAAATACTCCCAGTCAATGGTGAAAACCAGAGATATGGCAATAGTGGTCTTCACTTTATCTTTAAATAGTACCCTTGGCATTAAAGAAATGTAATATGGACAAGCACTAAAACTAAAGGATCTCTATCATCCAGCAAAAAGCTTCTCAAGTCATTCTTCCAAATGATTCATGACAAATGTGTTTTCACAAGAGCATGGTTCTGACTATATATATATATATATATATATATATATATATATGTATGTATGTATGTATGTATGTATGTATGCATGCATGTATGTATATGTATATGTATATGTGTGTGTATATATAAAATATTATATTATATTATATATTAAATTAAATGAAATCCACCTTAAGTACAAAGATCTCAGGTTGGATGACCTGGAGTGGTTAACTTTGTTTTTTTAAATAATACTAACCACACCTTGAGCTTTCATTGGCCTAACACTGACTAAAATGACCTGAATAAACTCTAAGAATGGAGTCTGTAGCACTCTCTCTGGCTTACCCTAGTGGTGAAAGATTGACAGGAGCCTACCAAGTTATTTTCTGAAACACAGAACATACTTTAGAGTACATAAAGATCCAATAGTCCTAGATGAAGCTCCCTAGCCTCCACTAGATCAGAGAAACTTGTTGAGCAGGGCAAGAACATAAAAGAGCCAGATAAAACTCTACATATAAAAGCTAAAGTATTTAGTGGAGCTTGAATGCAGCCTTTTGTTCCCTGCCCTGGATTTTGTGGCTGCCCTGGTTCTTGAAGACTCATTTTGGTCAGAGGATAGCCCCCAATCACAGGTTTGTCCTGTGACTAATTTCATGATTCCTTCATACACAATCATTTCCTCGTGTGTGTGTGTGTGTGTGTGTGTGTGTGTGTGTGTGTGTGTGTGTGTGTATGTTAGTGTTAAGGAAAACTTCTGTCTCACAGGGGAAGTTTGAAAAGCAAATGTTTCAACCCAGAATGTCAAACACCAACATTTTAAACATTGTGATACTAAGAGATTTCCATACAAGTCACCTTCAAAGCAAAAGTTCTGGTGCTTGCTTCTGAGCATTCAATGCAACCCAAAGGCCAATAGGAAGCAACTTAGCTCGGCTCTCTTGAAACCAGGTGACCATCCCATTCTATCTTTTTATTCCCAAATAAATTCAAAAATATTCTTATCAGTTCTCCCCCCCCCGCTCTCTCTGTCTCTCTGTCTCTCTCTCTCGCTCTTTCTGTCTCTCTCTCCTTTTCTGTTGTCTTATTAACTCACACATTACTCATCTTCTGTTTTAATGAACACAACATGTGCCGCATAATGTCTGTCAGTGAGGCTGGCTGTGACATCTCTAACACCACACTCATCAGAAAGGCACTCTGCACTAAAGAGACTGATTTTGCCATTGTCCACCTTACAGTATTTCAGGACAGTCTATTTAACCGTGCTTATTCTTCTTGAAGTGATGTGAGACTTTTTTTTCTCAGCACCACCACAAAGTCTCAACTTAAAATGAAGGGCAGACTTCTTTGGAGTATTGTAGTCCAAGTCTGCCCATATACCAGC